TTTATGAATATTTTAAACTACAATATGTAGAAATTCAGTCTTTTTGGCGCCAATAAAAAAACTTACATGTAGGTTCGTTCTTTCTTTACTTGTGGTCCTGGTGACTTTTCTCTGTTGGTAGCTCGTAAACGCCGCTGTTGAACTCRCCGAGATATTTCAAACAAAAGTATTGTTTCAGCTCTACTGAATGCAAATGCTTTCAGCCGTAGTTTTAAAAATAAATTTAATCCCAAAATAACTAGAAAATAAATCGTGATTTGACACATGGGTTTTTATCAAATATCAGTCTTGTTAATTTCTTGGGKTTTTTCTTAAAGATGTCACGCTTTTAGGGACTGTCCCGTTATTTCGAAGGTAAAAAAACAATGTTTATAATTACACAGGCGCCGGTAAGACGACATTTGGTGTAAGCAAATTTTATTTTAACCAATGAAGCCTCATTGTTTTAGACGATATGGCTTGAGGGGTCGAAGTCATCTGCCAATCATCATCTCTTCTCAGCTTCATACAAGTCAAATTGGATCGAATTTCAATCGATTGTCCAGGCAAGCGAGAAAAATGCGCTGCAAGCGCTTTCTTGTTGAAAATAAATAAGCTATCATCAGCTCTTTCGTTTCATTAMTGTTTTGGAGGAATTTCTTTGGGGAAAAGACCTTATTTTCACACTGTGATCAACTGAATTTAGTGTAACAATGAAATCCTCGGACGTGCTGCAAGTCGTAAACACTAGGGCATAGAGCTAAAAATAAAATATAAGGTAACCAATCATTTTGACATAAAATAAGCCAATCAAATGACTCGTTATATAGGAATCACCTGGAACTGACCAATCGTGGRGTAATTTAGATTGGTTTTTATTGTTTTTCAAATCATCGTAGCACACGCCCCCAGACCGGGTTAAGAACCAAAACAAACTAAACCCGGCTTCGAACAGCGTGAGGTGACGATCTAAACCGGTAAGAAAAAGAAAATCAGCTCCAAAAAACTTCCAAAAACCYCTACAATGTATTCCTCTCGGACGAGAGCGAAAAACGTTTTACTAGGGCAGAAAGTGTGTGCACCCTGGAAAGATGGTCTGTACTATGCAGGAGTGATTGAGGCCGTAAAAAGTCGACCAACCGGCGAAAGCACGTTCACTATTCTTTTTGACGATGGCTATATTGCTGAGGTGGACGAAGACGATATAGTTGGTCCTAGCTTCGCGAAGGTAGGCTGTCTCCAGCTTCGTTCAGGACAGCGTGTTTACATCACCTATCATGGWMGAGAAGTGCCTGCTAGAGTGGTGAAGCACAAACCATCGTGGAAGAAAGTCGTTGTACGTGTTATGGACCGTGGCGAACACTTGTTGACCGTCAAACAAGAAGAACTGCGACTAATCAAAGGACAGAAACCTCCTGTAGATGGACAACTGTTGAATCATCTCCCTAGCAAGGAATGTCCAGTCCCATGCAAGATAAAGGCCCAAAGCGTGGATTTTGAGTAAGTGGAAAAATCTTACATCTAACGGCGACGATAATTCGACGTAAACAAGGATCTTTGCTTCTCAAATTACCGTGTTTTTTTAGGGTTTTTTCTTAGACGGTTCTTTCTTTTTTTGGATGAAAATTACCCAAATTCAAAAGTATTCGCCTATTCGTAGAGGTCGAGTTTTTGTGATATTAGAAATTTTCACAAGTTTTTTAATGTACCTTTTTGTACATTATTCGCGTTTATTCGTTTAATTTTCACTCTCTTCTTTCTTCAGGCAATGTCCTTCAAAACATCAAGAAAACTTAACAAGAAGCGAAGAGATGGCTGCCCTGGTTCTAACCTCCCTCTCTATCTCTCCAGTTGTAAAAGATCAAGAAAATCGTGAGTCACTATTTTGAACATYTTCTTCTCCAAAAACGAATTACCTCAGCAGTTCTTTATCTCACGCTCTTCTTATAAATACCGGCTAAACTTTACACAGTAATTCCATTAACGTTTGTTCTCCTAAGATTTCAAATTGCTGCTATAATCACTRAGTATTAATGGAGTTTATTTCCTTTTAATTTTCTTAGTGTTCAAAGAAGAGATAATATTTTCGCCATCACCTGATTCAGGAACGGAAATGGCTAACGTTGGATCACCGAACTCTTACAGCCTTTCAAATTCACCGACATCTCCCTCTACTTTGGAGGACTTCAAATACAGCCCTTCCTACCACTATGACGAGGGAATAGGAATCGAGTTTATAAAGAAAGAACGCACTCGGAAAAGAAAGGTTAGAAGCCAAGATTATTCGCGCATCTGAAAATATTTTAGTGCCATTCRGGTTGTAAACAACCAACTGATTCGAGATCATGTGATTATGCAAATCTCAAAAGCCGGGTTTTGTGTTCGACTTTGTTTTGAACCGGCCTTTCATTTATTTYAGTCGTTTTTAATTTGGATCGAATACTTCCTCGGTTTCATCCGTTCAGTTATATTATCCAAAAACAAGTGTCATTTGTTGTTTAAAAATTCTCTCATAACATAACGTAATTGTTTTTTTCTGTGCTACCKTGTTTGTTAATGGTATTACTCAACCGTAGAGTAGAAGTCGCTTAATTCTTTGCTAAGGAAGGGCTTTCCTTGCATGACCAATAAACTGTGTTAATTGGCACGCTTTCTCTAACTCTCGGATTCCTTTTCTATTATTATATTTCTGCGCGATATTTCGGGGTTTTAGCCACCATGAGTTGCCCTACCGAACAACCTCAAACTGCTCTGGACTTGCCTACCTYCAAAATAACATTATTAATAGCATTTAAATAGTTCGTTCTATTTCATCAAGGCTTGTTAATTTCAAATCGGTTGCAATCGAATGGGTTTCGCTCTTTTTTGGCATGACGACATCGATCCAAGAACTAGCATGCTGAAACCAAGGTTTAATTTCTCTTTACAGAACAGTATCTCATCAACTGGTTCAAAGAAGGTTGTATACCTCTGTACATGGCCAGGATGTGGGAAAACTCTTTCCACTGTTCCAGGGATAATTCGTCATGTTCGTACAATTCATCTTGGGTAAGGAAAACGTACATATAGAATACAATTATATTCGGCCTGAAAGAGGGYATGTTTAAATACGAAAATACGAAATACGAAAAATAGAATTTTGACAATCTTTTTTTGCTACCTCTTTGGCGAAAAATTTTGAAACATTTTTCTTGGCTACAAATTTGTTAATTTTTACGGTATTGAAAAAAAATTGTTTTCGTAAACAATGGACTGCTTCGAGCGTGTTAAAACGCAATTAAAAGAAAACTCTAAATTATGATATCATAAAAACCCTCTCTGATATTGYGTGTTGTTGAAAAAAAATTAAAAACCGTTATTGAGATTACCAATAGCCTATATGGATTACTTTCCTTGATATATCMAAAAGTATTTCTTTTGGGATTAGACAAATGACTTCAAAAAAAGTGCAGCCTCAACATTTCAGGAATAAATTTATTTGTAGGTCGTGAAATTGCAAATTAATRATTATCGGGTTTCATCGAAACCAATTCTTGAGCTGTAGTTGACATTTCTGGTGTCAGATAAATGAATATAAATATAAATTGGGGATTGTGGTGAGTGTGTGTTTTCACCTCAATCATACTTGTAGAAAACTTGTACTATGTACCAAAAGATTGTTAATTGTTTTTACTTTGACACAATTTTATAATTATACAGCRGTAAATACAAAATTCTGGTTTTATATCATTTATATATTTTTTTCGTTTTTTTTTTCAGACCAAAGCGACACTCCGAGGATGGCTACAGTGACGGAGAGGAAGAATTTTATTTTACAGAAAAGGACGACGACCAAGAAGATTTCTGCGACCCATTTCCTCACCCACTAGCCCTCTCCCCCACCCCCACACAGTCCCATTTTGACATGGTCAAGAGCCCATGGTCTGAGCCTTGCATCAGTCCCTCAGATGTCCTGGAAGCGACGGAAAACTCGCCACAGAATCTTCGCTTTAACTGGGACTTCCACATCGCAGATCAGGCCACAGCAAATAAGACAGCTTCCACAACACGATCCACGCAACCCCAGCATCACAGAAAAATCCGAGGAGAAAGTAAGAAGTGTAGGAAGGTCTACGGAATGGATAATCGACATCTTTGGTGCACACAGTGCCGATGGAAAAAAGCATGCGTTCGATTCTCGGACAGTTAAATTAGCCTTCTTTAGACCTTACAAAGACGCATACATTTACCTTTCAAAGACAGTAAATAGTTATTCTATCCACCSTTAGTGTTGGGCTGTAAATAGATTATTTTTTCCTTAACATATATAGCTTCTATATTTGATATTTAGCCAAAAAAATCTTACATGTTAAGAGACTAAAAAGTTGTTATAATTTAACATAGCATGATAATATTGCTCCAAAATTAACTTCAGTGCCAAGACATGTACGAACTTTACRACAAAACGTATAAGACAAAGTAGCATTCATAAGCTTGCAGAGCCCAAAGTTTATAATAAGTTATCAAGTTGGTAGTACTAAGTGACAAGGGCAGAATTCAAAATTCATATAGTAAAACTCACTCTGAATAAGGCTAGCGCCTTGGAGTTTTATACATGTGGGGTTTCTCATGATAAACAAGAAAATGCACTTAGATTCTGTTACCGTTATTAAAGTTTTCCTCGTTGAAGGACTCAAAAAAACTGTTTATTTCACTGGCTGGGAAAATCCCTGTATGCCTTTTTTGCAGCTTTAAAAAAATCAATTCCCTAGAACATTAAATAATATCCCTGTTGTAAAGGAAGTAAAACTAGTTAGCTGATATCCTCTTTTAATATCTAGTGTCATGTTGGGGCTACTTGACCATATTATATCAATGTTCTTGTTTTTGTTTCGTTGGCAATGCTCCAAAAAGGTCGGCAATACTTTACCCCCTAATTCAGAACAAAATTAACTTGCAAAAAACTCAAAAAGAAATGTTTTGGTGATAATTGAACTTCAAATTTTAAGATGAGTTGTAATGGCTTTAAGGATATGCAAGTATTTTTACTTTGTTCTTTGTCCTGTAAACTCTGCGTCTTTATAATGTTGTCTTTCATGCTTTGAACGCAGTTACGGAAAAAATAGAAAAGAGGTTTMATTTGGTGCGGGTTGAGTGAAAAATTTACCAAAGTCGAGTTGCCATGAAACGCCGGCCGGTGCAGGCTGATCGTGTTGTTTACAACCTTTTTAGGCAAAAAATCTTGGCGCARACATTTTATTATTGACAGATGAATTATAATTTTGTCTGGATGGACTCTCAAGTTGTCAGGAATAAAAGTTGTCAAGTTCAGTCGCCAAACGTGCTTCGATATTCTTTCCGAAGCCTAGCAACACTGCGTTTGATTCGCAGTGATAAGAATATATATATATATATATGAATAAAAATATATGGTTTAATAAAAAGGCGCTTTTGGTGTTCACAAACGACTATAATATTATTACTGTTTTAGTATAAAGTACCGAAAAAGTTGTCTCAAAAGTGCAATGATCCTTTGATACACTTTATTGCCGCTACCGGACACTTTTGTATAGTACCGCAGGAGTCATATCGCTATCTCTACGCTCTACCAGTCAGAGAGGCTTGAACTTACCGCCTCAATATTATTCTTAGTAAATGGTATAAAAACAAACAAATATCCTGTTCAATTTATTGCCACTAAAACAAGTATTAACCTGTTATTGGCTGGCTATTTTTTCCCTGCTATGCTGATAACGTTTTGTGTTGAAATTTGGCCAATGTTTTTCATCTATAGCGTATTATGCATGGGGCAGCTAAAATGCCAGGATTTGCCCTGATAAAATAGGCATTTTTTCCATGAATAAATTGATTAATATTATATTCATACATATGTGCACGAGGCTTTTCCTAGCAGCTTTTCCTTATCGAAASAGGTTCTCAATTTTCCAACATTTTAACCATATGTTTAAAGAAAAAAATATTCTATTCAGCTCGTGCGATCTTGTTTTTGCGACATCTATTACGTATCAAAAGGAACGACATCTATTTCAAATCGTTGCATGAAAGATTGTCAAACCCTCAGGTCGTCATCGAGACTCAAACCTTTTATTTCATAATTCCGGCACGTACAACGAAATCCAAGTTCTTTTTATCGCTGCGCCAGTAAACACGACGAACGACGTAAACGAATGAACAAGCTTTAATAATGAAACGTAGTCGCAAGATGGCCGACCAATAACAACAGTAATGAACAGGCGTCACTGGCGCGGGCGCGCGCGCATGACAGGCACAAATGTCCGCGGGCACAACGGGCTCGCTGGCGCTGTATAATTATAATCTTAGTAATTCTATCTGATTTGCTCCGGGAATGCCTGAAGTGAGTTCATATAATGGATGGAAATTTCCCAATTTTTTTTCCTATTTAGTGTTACTCCAAAAAATAATATACTTTAAAAGGGCTGATTTATTCCAAGAGCATTCAGCATTCTCCAATCCTTCATTTCCTGTATCACCTAACTTCTCATAACAGAGCCGATGCGAGTGGAAAACGTGATAAATGTAATATGTGAAAATAAAATAAAATGTAACGAAAAATCAATAGACGGTAAAAGTCCTTTGCATCGATTACCCCATGCAGTTTACATGATGTTCTGCATTTATTAAAAATATTGATATTTTTTTCTCGAATCTTGGCTTCTTTGCTTCAGTAGAAATAATAAATAGGTCACGTACAGTCATCATGAAACAATAGCTATATTATGCCAAGAGTGTTAGAGGCAACAGTTGTGTTTACGTTTCGCTTAATAAAAATTTAACTTTTAAATTGCAAACTAAACACTCAGTTATCGGGAAAAAACTTGGTATAAAGTTTAGTACTAATATTGTTCGAGATTGTTGTCCTGTCTGAGTTAGCTCAGTGTGAGCATAGTTATTAACTGTGGTGTGAGCTTGTAAGATTTTTTACGAAAAGTTTATGTCAACTTTAACCGGAAATTGCATTGCATGACGTTAATACACCACCTGTCACGCATCACGCTATCACAGTAATTCAACCGTTACAATATTATTTACGCCTCACGCAATGTAACTTCATTTTTAGTACAAACCCAAATTAAATAAATATTCAAAAATTCAAAAGAAATATCAGAAAATCCCAGCACGGATCTGGGAATCACAAGCAGGCAAAAATCCAAGCTACTAATATTTATATCACGAATATGCAAAGAAAACGTGCTTGTCTTATCTTTTGTCAATCTATGTTCTGGTCTGTGTACATCGACCTGGACTTCCATCAATCAAYTTTGGGACGGTCCCTTCAGGATTATATAGCTAGTTTCGTGTCTTTCGGCTTGCGTTGGCTGAGCGTGAGTGAGTCTGGTCATATGTAGTGGTGTCAAGATTGCCCAACATTCTGCTAAAACATTTACGCCAAGCGTTCCAGGATAGAAGTTTCTCACGCTGGACTCAATGATTTTAAATTCTGCTTTGGTTCATATGAAATCAAAAGAACTTGAGATTAAAAGAATATAATTTGTTACRGAGATGGTGGCCGATTAAGGCGTGGTTAATTTGATTGATGCCCTGTTAAAAGATCGGATCCTATCACTAACAAAATACGTGCATGTAGCAAGATGATGCAAGCAAGCAAGCATTATAAGATGATGATATAACTGCATATAAATAAGACTGATCACGAGTTACATATCAAAAGRTTAATTGACAGGCACCAGCTGAGTTGTAAAAACGTTATTTGAGTACTACTGCCCTTCTTTTTTGTTTGCGCAGAGGTATCGACTCCAAAAATTTGACTCCACTTACGGCTKTGTCTGACCTTTGGAAAGATCGGCAGACTTGTTGTAGATCACGATCGATGCATCCTCGATAACCCAGGGGTAAAATTCTGTCGCTTGTTTTTGTTTCTCGCGAAACGAGCGACAGAATTTTACTCTTGGGTTCCCGAGGATGCATCGATGGAGATGGAGACAAGGCCCTGGACGCAGGTTAACGTTGGGATACCTGGATGGGACAGTTGTCTGAGTTTTTATAAAATGTGCAGGGAGCCGATCCAGGGAAGGGCAAAGGGGCGCGGTAGCCCTCCCTCACCCCCCCCCTCCCCTGCACCTCAGCCATGTATAGTTTTATTTGATCAATGTAATGGTATTACAGTGAGATGAGCAGTTTTTACGTCATGTTGTGACTGACAAAGATATTACTATTAGCTGGTCATAAAGTAAAGGGGGYTGTAAAAAATGGGTCATACATTTTTGAACTTCTTAAAAAGGGATAGGCTGCCTATGAAACTAAACTTGTCTAGCAGGAAAAAAAGCTACTTCGAGTGCAGGCATTGCATTGCTATTTCACAATGACAATCCGCTTGCGCTGCCAAAAGTTTTTTTAAACGGTGGGTTTCCTGCGTTATGGAGAGACCTGGAGCGGTCAAATATGCTAATGAGATACTACGCGAGCCAAAATAAAACCGCAGTGACAGATCGAGTAACAGCATTTGTTTTTTTACCAATTATTCGTGGTTGTGTCTTCCTTTTTTACRCGTCTACTACTCAAAGTGATCCCTAGGAACGACAAGGATATCCTCTAGATGGATTTTATTCAAGAATTGAGTGGATAAAGCTGTCAAAAAAGACAAGTATTCGGCATGATTAATGGCGACAATGATAGACGCACCAACAACATGTGGACCTCATGAGCAAGCGTCTTGTTTTTTTTACGATTCCTTTTTATGAATTTTTAAAGAAAGCATGCATTTCGATGGATTGATAAATAAGTAGCTGAAGAAAATACCGCTAGCTCTAAATCGGTTTGTTGGTTGTAGCGGACGGAAAAWTTCATCGTCCTTCGCCTTCCTGTCCAAGTTATGCCAAAAACGCGAAAGATTTTTTAAAATGTTTCGGAGAATGCCACGTTTGCCTTGTAAGATAAAGGATTATCTTGTCCTGAAAGTGCTTATCTGTGCCCTGGTGTTTGCAGTTATTGGACCGCTTGTGTTTCTTCACCATTTAAACGGAGATACTGGCTCAAGGGATTTTACTATTCAGTCCTTTCAGACAAGAACCAAGCTTGATAAGTCTTATGCAAAAGATGAGTTTTTACTGGAAAGACTCGAAGAATACCGGCGACAGATTACAGAATTAGAAAGAATTAAGCTTTCTTTGTCCAATGAACTGAGGGATTTAGAAGGAAAGAGACACATAATCCAAAAAGATATYCAAAAACTTCATGAGAGTGCGGAAAAATTACAGAAGGATTCAAAATCTGTTAAGGATTTGGTTAGTCGTGCTAAACGAAAATTAGACGTTTATAAAATAGAAAAAACTAAAATGAATCAGTGTCCAMAATTGCCTGAAATGAGGTTGCCAAAAGCACCAGAATTACCACTACAGAGAAATCAAATTTTATCTTTAAATAACGAAGATGTTGATTCTTGTAACCTTGAGAAGTGCTTTGATTTTAGTCGTTGTCCTTATGCTAAGGGATTTTCATTCTATGTTTATGATCCTACAAACTATCTGATTGCATCTAATCCCTCATTTGATGTTATGTCCATATACAAACTACTCAAAGACAGTTTATACTATACATCAGATCSTATGACTGCTTGCATTTATGTTGTCCTTGTGGGATCCCTGGATGAAATATCGAAAGAAGATTTAGACCACGTTATACATTCCTTGYCTTACTGGAATGAAGATGGCAGGAATCATTTTTTATTAAATTTAAAATCATCAACAAACACTTACAAAGATATCAGAGGAATTGGAATCAATACTGGAATGGCATTTGTGGGCCAGACTTCCTTTTCTAGTTCACATCTGCGTCCTGGTTTTGACCTGGTCATCCCGCCTATCAATATCAGTCAATCACTTGGGGAAGGATTGTGGGAACAGCCACCTCCACAACTGCCAGCTTTTAGAAAGTACTTCCTGAGCTTTGAAGGACAGATTACCAAAACTGGCAAAAAATATTCATTTTTAAGTGCAAATGAATTTTTATCCCTGTCAAAAGAAGCGAATGATTTTTATATTTTTACGAGTTGCAAAGGCAGCATTAATGAAAGTGGAAATGAAGTGGACCCTTTAGAATGGAAGTTATGTGGCAGCCATGAAACTAGAATAGGGATACTCAAAAAATCTACTTTTGCCATAATACCAGGACCTATGRATAGCATTGGATCTTGGGATGCAGCTCAAGTTCGTCTGATTGAAGCCCTGCAGAGTGGAGCAATACCAGTGATTCTGAGTAGTGCAGTATCTCTACCCTTCAGTGACATGATCGACTGGTATCTGGCTGCTATGATTCTACCCTCTSCTCGCATCACAGAACTTAATGCATTACTACACACTGTGACAGTAAATGAACTGTTGGAACTYAGRCGACAGGGTCGATTCTTGTGGGAAAACTACCTTTYAACACCTCAAGCTACTTTGGATGCCATATTAGCAGCTGTTAGAACAAAGCTATCTCTTCCAGCCAAGCCATTATTAGCAACCCCATCAACATCAGTATTTTCACCCTCAAACAAACCATTAATWAATCCACCAGATCCTGATGCTGTTCTTGAACTTCCAATAAAATCTCCAACATTTACAGCAAACTTTACCAGTACAGTTAACTTTGTTAGAGATCACTGGAACAAGCCTCCAGGACCAGGTTATTTACTCCCAAGTTATCCCTTTGAACCACTTTTTCCATCTTCTGCTGCTTTTAAGAACTCCACTACAGAATTTGAACCTCTTGGTGGAGGTAAAGGAGGTTCTGGGGAAGCCTTCAKTAGGGCCCAAGGTGGAAATTACCCTAAAGAACAGTTCACAATAGTAATACTGACTTATGAGAGGGAGTTGGTTTTGATGGAATCAATACAAAGACTAGTAGGATTGCAATACTTGAATAARGTTGTGGTTGTGTGGAACAGCCCTCTTACACCTTCCCCTAGCTTGCGATGGCCAGATATTGGGGTACCTGTTCATGTAAGTATAAAAATAGCTGTCATAAATCTTGCTTTCTGATTGGTTGTTGGTATGTGCTTTATAAGAGCACACTGCACACATGCGCACTTTCAGTAATGTCATTCCTATCCAAAAAAATATTTATTGTATTTTGCATTTTATGAAAGAAATAAAAATCTTGCTGTGTTGTGTGCAGTCATAAAGCACTTTGGGATCAGCAGAACTGTCTAGGAGTGTTGAAAACACTCTACTAGTGTGTGTCATGCTTCTCCCAATACTTCTCTTGTGTTCTGTCAATCCTCTTGTGCTTCATAACTTTACACAGCTCAATTATATTTCTTCAATAACATACATGGTAAAGAAAGTATTTTTGAAATTAGGTGGTCAAGACTTCAAAGAACAGTCTGAATAACAGGTTTATTCCATATGATGTGATTGAAACTGATGCTATCCTGTCYATCGATGATGATGTTGAGTTACGTCATGATGAAATATTGTTGGCATTCAGGTAAAAAATGTCCATCCATCCATCCCTTCATCCATCCATCTATCTCTCTAACCATAATTTTTTTTTCAATTTTCATTTAACCCTGTAAATGACGTCTGGGCTGATCAATGTCAGGGCACAGCTCTTTCACAGATGGAACCCTGAAACAAACTCCAGGCTGATCAATTTAGGGGCTTTGCTAACTCACAGGTCAAATCCTGAAACAACCTCTGGGCTGATTTAAGTCTGGGCACGGCTCACAAACAGATGGAACCCTGAAACAACCTCCAGGCTGATCAATGTAAGGGCTTGGCTAACTCACAGATCAAATTGGAATTTAGCTTGTCAGGTTTTGCAGAGGCAAAAAAAAAAAAAAGAATCTGGACAAAAACTCTACTCACATTTGATGCTAAGTGYAGGAATCAAACCTGAGACTGCAGAGGTGAGAGGCGAGTGTATTACTGGTATACCATCCTTGATTCCCAAGCATCCAACACTTCATCACTCCATCCCTACACCCACCCATCTAAGTTGAATTGTTAGTTTTATGCTGATTTCTGACAGGGTTTGGCGTGAGAATAGAGACAGARTTGTTGGATTTCCTGGTCGGTACCATGCGTGGGATGACGTGAATAAAAGATGGACTTATGAATCWAAATATGCCTGTGAGCTGTCATTGATTCTTACTGGAGCAGCATTTATTCACAGAGTAAGTATTTTTGGCATRCATTTCAGTCAAGCATTCTATATATTTTAAGTGAGTATTATAAAGGAATAGAAGTATTGAAGGAGGTTAAACAATTTTTTTCTCTCGACAGTATTATTTTTATCTCTACACTCACTGGATGCCAAAAATGATAATCAACAAGGTTGATGAGTACAAGAACTGTGAAGATATTGCTATGAACTTCTTGGTTTCCCACATCACACGCAAACCACCTTTAAAGGTGAGAAAATGTGTAAATATTATATATTTTTAATTTGTCATATTATGAAAAAATAATTACATTCATTTTCATAATTATTACATGACCCAGAGTTGTCTGGGTATTTGGCTTCCGTCAATCACATTTTCAACAGTCTGAATTCAGAAGTTGAATTTTTTGGTTGAAAGAAAATGGGATATCCCAGAAAAAAACTCACTGAGAACAGGTAAGGCTGCGTTCATAATGATGGCAGAGGGGGGGAGGGCAGGTGAAAATTGAGGGGGGGATCGGGAAATTTTGGTAGGAAAAAGGGGGATGGGCAAATTTTTATCAGAAAAAGGTGGGGGGTGTTAAGAATTATTCTGGAAATTTCAAATTTATTTTCACCTGCTCCCCCCCCCCCCCCCCCCCCCCCCCTCTGCCATACATTATGAACGCAGCCTAAGAACTGACAAGCAACTCTACTCAAAAATTTATGACACTGAGATTGTGCGAAATCTGCAATAACTGTAACAGTGTGAAATCAACTTCCAAAGAGAGAAATTTCTTGTTCTTTAATAAACTAATGTCATGCGTTAAAAGCAGGGGTAACTCAGTCTGTTGGTTAGTGTGCAAACTTAGGAGCTGAAGGTCTATGGTTTGATGCTCAGGATCTTCATGTCTGATTCAACTTCTCTCTGTTTGTTAACCTCATGAGGAGCACAGATAGTTTGAGAGGGTAAAGGGTGTACCCGAAGTCCAACTATTTAACCCAATCCCCTGGCTTGGGAGAATAATTGGGCAACCACTGCCTGCAGTCTCAAAGTAAAATAGATTGCCTTTACATTTACACTCATTTATTACTGATCATATTTGCCAGGTAACATCTCGCTGGACATTCCTCTGCCCAAGCTGTCCTATCTCATTGTGGGAGGATAAATCCCACTTTGAAGAACGTCATGAATGCATCAATTTTTTTGARAGAGTTTATGGCTACATGCCTCTTSTGAAGACTCAGTACAGGGCTGACTCTGTCTTGTTCAAGACAAGGATTCCTTCTTCTGAGACCAAGTGCTTCAAGTATGTTTGATKGCAGTAATAAACATACCTGTTAGAACAATGCAGAGTGAACAAAGATCTAAGAATACCAGATTGAAATGTTTGATACCAGACAGAAATTTTACTAGTAACTCATCCAGAGAAAACGAAGATGATGGAATTCTTTGCTCACACTACTCCAATGGCAATTTATTGCAACAAACTTATTCCAAATGTGATGACTAAATAATTATTGCTCCAAGCCAAGTTGGTTTTGATAAATACAGTATTTGTATAAACACATCAAGTTCAATCTCAACTTGGAGAAATTGTTTTGTAGTCACTCAAGCAAATTCAGGAAGCCCTATTGTGTCTGGAACAATTCTAGGAGTATAAGTTGTGGCTGACCAGAAATCAATTCTACTGAGGTTAGCAGGAGTAACATCAGAACTCTATGGCAAAGGGAGATCCTGCTGGCTAGGATTTAGCCTTTAAGAAACTCCATGAACATCTTAAAACCACACATTTTAAAAATAAACATAGAGAGAAAAAAAAGCTATTTCAAAAAAAGGTTGAGGAAGGTTTTTTTTCTCATTGTATGCTGCATACAAAGCTTGAAAAGCACTATGGAATTTTACCAAACTTTGTCAGCATTTTGTTCAAGTGTATTTTCTTCTCTTCYGACATTATTTACATCTGAATATAACACATTTTAAGCTTAATTTTGGTATTCAACATGCAAGAAGGCCTTAACCAACCTCACCATTTTTTTTGAAAAAGCTTTGTATTGAATGAGTTATTGGGGCTTTCCTTCTCACTGCAAGTGAATGCATGAGAAAGGGATTGTCAGTGCATCTTATGCATTTCACCCATTTT